AGAAACGCTTTAGTTAGGCAGTTTGGTGGGTGCCACGGAGTTTTTTAATTAGGTGAGCCTCCAATACTTAGCTTTTTCTAAAAATGAGAACATTCTTTATTGAAATTATATATTTCTCAAAGAAGCATGCCAAGCAGGCATTTCAAAAAGAAGGGCTTTTATGAAAACTAGAATTTAGTCCTTTCTGTCTTTCCAGGGGAAAGAGAAGCCACATTAACTCACAGCTGCAGGAGGCGGCTACTCTGTAGTTACATAGAAGCTAGACGTGTATCTTCCATTACAGTTAACTGGAGCTGAGTGGCTGAGTCAGCCCGTTTGGAGACAGGAATGTGCTACTTGGGCTGTGACAGGGTTGAGGAACCTGAAGTCACTGCCTGTCCAAATGTGAGTGTTCCCAGTCTCTCTCAAATGCCTCTTGTCTGGGTTGTAGACAATCATGCAGTGAGGTTTGTGGCCAAGATTCAAAATAGAGAACACGGGTTTTCACCTGACTCCCAGAGGCAGGGACAAGAATCTTGAATCCTTAAAGGACAATTTTTCTCTGCTGTTTTTGTGGGGGAGCGGGTACAGTGTCATTTCTTCTGACACTTTGTAAGTAACATTTGATGCACAAGAAAATCTGTGCCTAACCAAGTGTAAAAGAGGCTTCGCCATATTCACTTATTGTGCAATTTTATGTTCTTCCTTGGGCCAGTCTATTCAAATCTTCAAAATTAAACAAAATTGCCAGGAAGACAATAAATAAATATGGACATTAGTACAAATGGCAAGTCACAGACCTCTTCAAAAAACAACAGTGTAGATAGTTCACATTACTGAAGAAATGTGCGTCCTTTACAGGTCTCGGGCCAATGGCCAGAATACATTAATTCATTTCTAAATTTCTCTGAAGGGTGAAGAAAGGCAGTTTCACACCAGAATTCCTGGGTGCAAATTCCGCCCATGCTATTTCTGTGTGGCTTTGAGCCAGTAACTGAGCCTTTTAATTCTTGCACCTGTGACATGGAGTTAACGATAAGGAATAGGACGTGGCATACAGAAGGACTGTGTAAGCATTTGCTAACTACACAAAGCATGAGCAAGCCCACATGGCCTCTTCTAGGTCCAGCTGTCTCGAAAGGAGAAAAGGGATTGTGGTACTGGACAGTTGAGCTATTTGGGGAATGCATTCTACAGAATTAAACAAGTCTGGACTTCTGCAGATTGGAATTGAGGATTCTATTTTGATTTCATGGATTGTTTAAATAGAGACAGGCCTAGAGGAAATTCTGTTGTCTTAGGTTTTTTTGTTTTTTGGTTTTTTTTTCAAATAAATGTATTCCATGGTCTGCTAAAGCTCTATGGGGTATGCGGTTCTCAAGTCTCGCTTTCTACCTTTGATAGTTTTGCTTAGTCTTATCCTCTAGTCACATTTTAAAAATAAAATAAGCAACTAGCTGATACCTTATATAAAGAGCAGACCACAGAAAGGGATGCATCCACACCATGACTCCTGCATTTTTGCTTGGACCTGGCCACAGGTGCTGTCATGATTGAGATTCACAAGTGGGTGGAAGCTATGTGTTGTAATATTTTATTTGAAAATTGAAACTATGACTTCACTTTACAAAGTGAAAAGCAATACTTTATGCAAGTGAGCGCATTTGTGAGGTCTACAGCTAAGAAGTTTCTGTGATCGTGTGTGCCACTGTATCCTTTAGAAGAAATACACCAAGGAGGTTGGAATACCAAAACTGATCAATTTACAGAAGGGCTTTTGTGGAGGTAACACACAAAGAAACTAAAAATGTCATTCAACACTATCTTACCCTATGGGTTTTGTAAAGCTGGTGACAGCATAAAAACTCAATCAATCTACATTGTTGGAAACAAATCATTAGTTTCTGGCGTTTTCTTTTATATGCTGCAGCAAAAGCTGGGTATAGGCAGGCACACGGCTGGCCATCCGAAGGCCCACGCTTTAGACATACAGCATGGCTGTTTTCAGTTTAATATGAACCATGTGTTACTGCCAAAACAACATCTGACCCTCATTCTTCAAATAGTATGTATGCTTCTCAAGGGCTCTATTCAGCCAGACAGCTGTTGGGAGGTTTATTCCCACATATTAAATTTGCCTTTGGCCTGGACAAATTGCTCATGTTTTAATACTTCTCTGGATACTATTTTTCATCCCTTTGCCTCTTTAGCTGAAACCTCCAGTTCTTAGCTTAAACCCCAGATTCACTTGATGAGGTCAACCCAGATTCACTTGATTTTTGGGGAGGTTTATGTGTGTGCTGTTTTAAAGAAGAAATTCATATAAATTAGTTGTAAAGATTAATTTACTCAGGAGTAATTAAAAATCTATTGGATGTAATGATTTCTTTAATTAAATCAGAATAAAGAAAACTTTGTTTCAACTCAAAGGTCTTTTCTCTGCTTCTTCAGAATATACTGAGGCTTGACTTATTACACAGCAAAGATGCCAAATGAAAAAAGTAGGTGAGAGTGTTAATTCTGAATTTCCTACAAAGGATCAATTCAGTGAGAAAGGGAGGCAATGGATAGAAGTTGGTTTGGTTTCAGGTTTACACACACTAGATGTTGAAACTCTTGTTATGCCACTAGCTGGAATATTATGGGTAAATGATAGTTTTAGTTTAAACAGAGAAGTCTTTCATTTAGGAATTAGATGAGATAATGTGTGGTAAGTACAAAATCTAGCTCCAAGAAAATACTAAGTGCTCAATAAGGTATATGGTGAGTATACTTTACCCAAAATGCTTGGAAGGGAAAGTGAGATTTTGAAGATTTTTGGATTTGGGAATATTTGCATCAATGTCACTCGCTGAATGTCCTTAATCAGAAAATTTGAAATTTATAATGCTACCAAATTCTAAACATTTTGAGCATTATAAGGTATTCAAAAAGTTTTAGATTTGGGAACATTATGAATTTTAGATTTTTGGATTAGGGATCTCAACCTGTACCCTTAGTTTCAAAACTGAAATATAGCAGCACAATTCATAATTTACCAAACCTTGAAGTAATCTATATGTCCATCAACAGACAAAGAAAATGTGGTATATATGCACAATGGAATACTCTACTATAAAGAAGAATGAATTTGTATCATGTGTAGGAAAATAGTTGCACACTGAAAACATAATGCTAAGTAAAGTAAATCATACACATAAGCTTAAATACTGTATGGTCTCCTTCATGTGAAAAAAACCAAAGTATAAACACAGAAAAGAGGAAAATAAAAGAGAAAATATGGTATCTATATACAATAGAATACTACTCTGCTATAAAGAATATAAAATTGACTTGTTTGTAGGAAAATGGATGCACTCTGAGAAAAGAATGTTAGATGAAATAAATCAGATACACAAGCTTAAGTATTCCATGGTTTCTCTTATATGAGAAACCCAAAGTATAAATAAAAGAGCAAAATAAAAGACAGATAATAGGAAACAGGGAGATAGAACTTTTGTAAAAGGGAATGAAACCAAGACACAAGGGAGGAGAAAGAGAAGGTAAAGGTTGGGAAAGGGATAATACAAAGACTAAAGATGTGTTATCTACATGTACCAACTCACCACAACAAATGTAATCACTATGTGCTGCAAATATGTACTAATAAAACAGAACACAAGGAGGGGAAAGGTAATAAGAGAAAAGAAAAAAACTGTGAGAAAATGAAAATATGGAAATAAAGTGTAATTGGGGAGGGGAGAAGGGGGTGAAGAGAGGGCAGGGACAAGGGGAAAAAATGAGAACCAAGACCTGTTGTGTAAAGGTACAAGATCCCAATAATGAATGTAACTGTACTGTACTGTATACCTAAAATGTACCAATAAAGTCAATTTAAAAAAAAAGAACCCAAGGTATGAAAAAATTTGAAATCTCCAGTCTTATTCACAGAGGGAACAGAATGTGTAACTGCTGTACTGTATACCTAAAATGTACCAATAAAGTCAATTTAAAAAAAAAGAACCCAAGGTATGAAAAAATTTGAAATCTCCAGTCTTATTCACAGAGGGAACAGAACATGCAAACTCATATACAGAGCAGGGGTAAAGTGGCTGTTAAAGCTGAGCCAAATTCCCTGTGACTGCAGAAAAGTGCAACAAAAGAGAGTGGTGAGAGATGAGGCAGGCTTAGTATCCCTTGGTTATGTTGTTCTCTACCTCCTTTACTCCATCATCAAATGAACCTGCCTGAGGATAGATGCACATTTGACATACAGCAGAAACAAAATATTTGGCAAAGAATGAAATCTAAGTTACTTGGTATGGATCCCTAGATATTTTTCTTCATGCTTAATCAACTAATTACTGTGGAATATTTTAGTTTAATATGAGATTAACATTTACAGTTACACGGACTTTTTTTTTCAGCTTTAATTGAGTTTATTGGTACATTTTAGGGATACAGTACAGTTACATTCATTGTTGGGATCATGTACCTCTACATGGCAAGTCTTGATTCTCATTTTTTCCCCTTACCTCTGCCCTCCCTTCACTGCCTCCTCCCCTCCCCATCTACAAACACTTTATTTTCATCTTTTCATTCTCTCACATTTTTTTCTTTTCCCTTTTTACTCTTCCCCTACCCATCCCACCTTCCCTACACCTTTAGCTCCTTTCTTCCCATTTCTAAATGTCAGTAATCTTATTAGAATCTTATGCATTGTTGCAGATTATTCACACCAGGGACACTATTCGGTATTTACACATGTACAGTTACACGGACTTCTGAAAAACTCTTAAAGAATTGAAAAAATTTACTTCTTTATGCAAATCTTCAGACAGAAAAGGAAAGCAAACTGAAGCAGTGAACAAACAGATCTCGATATAGGTTTATAATCGATTTAGTGAAAAGAGCTGTAAAAAGATGAGAAATTTTGGAGAAAAAACATAGATAGTAAAGCCCTTCAGAATTTTGCCTGGGTCCATGATGGTTGTAATCTATGAATGCAAGCTGCTTCTGTTGTTCTGGCGGGGGGCACCTACCTTTTTCTTTTGGAAGTTCACATCAAGTTTCATTGAGGCACACTTATTCAACGTGTTTAGTCGTCTAAAGAGAAAGAAAAATGTCATGATTACTACCACTAAATATTCTTTCTGGCTTGATAATCCTCCTTTATTTCCAGTGGGGTTGAAAATACAAAAACAACAAATGTCCCATGACAGTGTTGTACCCCAGTAGATGCTAGACTATAAAACAATTTCCATTTGTGCTCTGGCCTCCCGATTTGAAAGGGCTCTGCCATCAAGCTTACCAAACCCAGCCTCTTCTCTAATCTAAAAACCAATCCTCTTCTGGCTTCTCCTTCTGCCATTCTTGGAATCCATGGGCAATCACTTTAGCTAGACTTTCACTACCTCTTCACCTCATTTGCCACCTTGACTCTCCCAAATATAGATCAACTCAGCCCTCTGTTTTTTCTCCTTCACTCAGCGAGCTGGGTATAACAGCACATGGAAAAATAACCCACATTCCATGGATCAAACTATGGCTCCTAAAACTCATATGTTGAAGCCTAACTCTCCCAGGGTGACTGTATTTGGAGAAAAGAGGCCATTAGGGGTAAAAAAATTTAAAAGGGAGGAGTCTTTATCCAACGGATTAGTGTGCTGTGAGAAGGAACACCAGAAAGTATGTGCGTTGTGTTCTCCTCCCATCCTTTCTCTCAAACACTGGAAGAAAGTGGCTGTCTGAAAACCAGGAAGAGAACCCTGACTTCCAGCCTACAGAACTGAGAAAACAGTTCCTGCTGTTGAAGCCACCCATTCTGTGGTATTCTGCCATGGCGGTTCATGTAGACTAATCCATACATTTTGATTCTCACCCTTAGGTAGGCTCCCAAATTGCTGCATCAGAATTCCTTTCACATTCCCCTCTTCTGTTTGGCTCTAAGTCTCAGACCATCAAAAAGATCCAGTTTCTCAACTGAGGACTTAGCTATTACTATCAGTGCGCAAACAGAAGCTATTAGACAGGAATTGTTTTAGTAATCTTTCTTTCTTCATATGTTGTATCCATATACTCATTTATCCTGCTGCTCTTCTACCTTACAGGAAAACATCTTCCTGCTCTTTGTCAAACTTAGCCCTTATTTTTTACTACTCTTACCTCTTCACCTGGGACTTTGATACCTCATTTATTCCCTATTACCTTAGCAAACTGCCTCAATTACCTTTCTTTAAGCCCATTTCTGGCTTAAACTGATTAACCAGTTAGTTAATATAAAATTATTTTATTTGATTTATTTTTTAAATCACAATTGTGAATGCATATGGTTTAGTCAAATGTTATCTTTGTATCTTTTTCTACTTACCATTCTTTGAAAGCAATTCTTTTAAACTTCTTAATCTTTCATGTTATTAAATTTGTTGATTTGTTGACTGAAAGTTGATCATTTCTTTTACTCTCTACCCTTTACCTTAACACACTCACTCTCACCTTTTGCCCCATCCAAATACAGATATGTTATAATTTTAAAATTTAGGATAAATCAATATTTAGGATTTATGATGACTATGGAAATGCTATTCACATATATATATATATATCAAATTTTGATTACATTTCCTTTCCTTTTCCACTTTTCATTATTCCTAGAGTTAATAAGCACCTATTTACTTTTCTTTTTGGTTATCCTAAAATGCAAACACTTCCCAATTACCTAGTCTTCTGTCACATCAGATCATATGCCAATTTAATTTATTTGGAGACGTTTTGTCTTGTTCTGGTTGGGACTGGCTGGCCTTATTTTGTTTCTTGTCACGAGCCAATCACATCTCTCAGAACTAAGATTCCCCTTGAGTGTGTTTTCTGCTGTTCTGGCAGGAGTAATAGAAGAGGCCTGGGAATGCTGACATTTAAAAGCGAGCTGTCTTGCAGGTTCCTGCTTTCTACAGATTGTCTGCCTTCAACCATGTCTGATGTTCCCCAGTCCAGGGAAACATTTGTTTTAGCCTCTCTGGGGAATCAACTTTTGGTCTTCTGCTGATGGTGGGGGAGAGAAATAGCCTAGACATAGAGTGGAATAGAAATTGCCTAGACAAAGTGGGCTCCTATCTACTTTAAAATGTAATTTTAAACAATCTCCTTCTATTTTCATCTTTATCCCTAGTTTTTGAGCATTTTAGGGTTTCTGTAGTGAAAGTTATGATTTCTTTCCCTCCCCATTTACATTTTTTTCTGGTGCTTTCTAAGTGCTCTACTACTGTATACTTTTCTTGGTACAGGGGATCAAACTCAGGATCTTGCACTTGTGAGGCAGGCAGCAGAAACAATGAGCTAAATCCCTGGCCCTCTCTTATGAAATTTTACAGTTGTTATCATTGTGTAGACATTTGTTTTTGTGAATAAATGCTTCTCTAGAAACATTCAGAAGTATGAAAATCCAGATATTTGATCTCTCATTTTTGATCAATGATCTCTTCTTGTAAACATTTAGTTTTTAGTTCAATGAGTCCTGGCTACTGTAAGTACCCTTAAAAAAGATAAAGATCATGTCTTCACACCAGAAATTTTTCTCATGTTCTTTATTGTGAATTCTCCCCATTACTACATCCTCTCCCACTAACCTCAGAACATCCTGTTTTAAGACTTTCACCATAAATAGATTAGTTTTACCTCTATGTGGCTGTCATGAAAATGGAATAATAATGTATTTTTATGGGTATCACTTTTTGTTCAACACAATGTTTTTGAAATTGTCCTTTGCTGTTAAGTATAGCAGTAATCATTCCTCTTAATTGCACAGCACTACTCCATTATATGAAGATATGCTACTGGGTTACCTAGTGGCTTGTTGATGGACATTGAAGTTTTGACCAATGATTTTCGATTTACCAAATTCTCATAGTTTATTTTTAGCAACAACCTGTTTCTAGCAATAGACATTAATTACCACCTACCATTTCTTGAAACTCTTTCCATCTTTGGAATTCAAGATCATGAATTCCCTCATCTCTCTGAACACCAGCTCCATAATACACACACACACACACACACACACGCACACACACCCACACACCTATACATAAAGGGTCATGTATACATATAGAACACCTTAATTGTGTGTGTGTTTGTGTGTGTGTGTGTGTGTTGAGAGACAGAGACAGAAAGAGAAAATTTATACTGAAGTCTTACTCTTCTTGTATTTCCAATTTTCAAAGTATTTCATCTCATTTTAAAATGACTACACTCTGATGATGTAATAATGTGAATCACTCTGACTCTATAGCAGCTAAATTCCAGAGCTACATTTCTAACTACTCACTGTTTTGACCCATCTGTGTGATTCTACTGGCTTTTTAAACTCAAATATTAAAACTGAGCTCATTGAATTTAATTCAGATAGTACAATTAAAGCTACCAGACCACTCCTTTCCACTCACTGGAACCTGGGCAAATTTTGGGGGCCAACCCCCTTGACCTTTGTTGTAAGCCCTACTCCCTAGAAGCAGAGATAAACACAACAAAGACCCCTGGAAATTTCAAAAATTCCAGGCCAGGGCACATGCCTATACCTGTTGGCATCACCTATAATGACTTTTCTTCACTTGGAACTTACTAAAGTTTCATAAATATGGAATGCATATCATGCATCCAGTACTTATTTATTCATATATTTATTTATTTTTGCAGTACAGGGGTTGAACTCAGGACCTTGCGCTGAGCATCGTGCCACTGAGCTACATCCCAGGCCCTCGTGCATCCAATTATAACCAAGTGAATCACGGGAAAGAACATGCTCAATAGATACAACTAAGATGACTCACCACCCTGTCAACCATGTTGTCAATCATGGTCTGAGAGACAGTGAGAGATACTCCAGGCCTGGCATACACATTTCAAATTCTTAAGCTCAACTTACTCTACTTTCTCATGCCATATTTTCTTTTTATCTGTTGGCACAAGCCAACCCACTATAAACATTCCTTTGCCTTTCAACTTTATTAAACATATCTGTTTTTTCTTTACCATTTTGTATAATATTCAATTCTTTGTTGTGTACAAGAACTTGGAAAACTGTCTCTTGGGACTCCGTCACCCATGGTAGTAGACTCTCTTCAAAACCCATTTCTCCCATTTACTGTCTTGTCTTGAATGACAGGATCACCAATAGATCAACCATACGAGGAAACAAAGTCATGTGAGACTTCCCTTCAAGATCCACATTCATTGATCACTAAGTCTTGTCAAGTATACTTCTGTGATGTCTTTGAAGTCTTCGCTCGCTCCTCAGAAGGTCCTAAGTCATTCCCTTCTCATCTGTTACCTAATCAGATAACAACAGCCTTTTAGTTGGTTTCACTACTACTTCATAACGAAACCAGCTATATCTCTCAACTTCTTTTACATTGTGAATTGCTTTAAAAGCTTATTATGAAGGTTTTGGGATTTAGCTCAGTTCTCGTGCCTGCCTCACAAGCGCAAGGGCCTGAGTTCAATACCCAACACCAAAAAAAAAAAAAAAAAAAAAAAAAGTATATTACGATTCTCCTCATTTTCAACCATCTTCAATTTATTTACTGACTACACATTCAAAATAATGTCAAATGAAATGGGAAATTCTGAATTAGAACCTGATCATTTGGTCTAATGAAATATTTAGTGGATATTTGGTCTTTGCTGCTAAAACTGACAGATTTTCTTGGCCTATTCCATATGAGTTAACATCTCTGCCTAAGGGTGTGTGTGGGAAATTAAAAAACAAAACAAAATCAATGTTGCTCACTTGGCAGCTCTGTGATAGTTTGTTTAATAACATGCCTGTTATTTATAAATATAATTAACTAACATGCTTGTTCTTCCATTATGGTTTGTGAGCAGAAACAATCCATTCTATTGGATGAAAAACCTTTCAATATACTACATATACAAAAGACATCAAAGGGCTCAACCTTTGTATACTACACATTGAAACGTGCTTTGCATTTTCTGATACATAGTGGAAGTTTATTGATTTTTTTTAAAGCTAGAGATTCTAAATTTATACTCACAGATTTGGGTATTTTAATCACACCTAAATTGAGAAATTTCTCTTCATCTTCAAAATT